TTGAAAACAAACCAGTGAGAGACTCCTGTTTTTTGATTGGAAGCCTTGTGTTTTTAAGTGCTTGCTTGACCACTCAAGCATTCTCTGTCTTTTCAGGCAAGTCGTATGGGTGTGGAAGCTGTGCTTGCCCTTTTAGAAGCTACTCCGGCTACCCCTGCCTGTGTTGTGTCCCTGTCTGGAAACCAGGCTGTCCGTCTGCCTTTGATGGAGTGTGTGCAGATGGTGAGTTTCTGCCAAAAAGCCAATTTACAGTTATTCATTAACTACAAAAGACCACTGTGTACAATAGTTGTCTGTTGTCACTAAAACCCTGATGAGAATGTGTGCAGCACTTTCCCACATTTGGAAATAATGAACTTTGTGTGTTCTCTAGGTGTTATTATTTATTTATGAACTACCAACAAACTAGAAAAAATATATATGTTCAATTTATTTTGAAGCTTCAGATTGTCTCTTTTTATTGCTACAACAAATTCTTCAGATGCTTGCATCCATTTTAGTCATAAATTAATGAAACGTCAATATTGCTTTTTATGCTTTGGAAAGCTATTTCAGAATGGCTTGGAATATATTAAATAATCAATTTCCTGTGTTTTTTAAACATACTGAGTAATCAACTTGTTTTTTCAAGACTCAAGAAGTCCAGAAAGCCATGGATGAGGGAAGATTTCTTGAAGCTGTGAGGCTTCGTGGAAGGTACGGGCAATAACTTCTATCAGTTTATTTACTTTAGAAAAGCTGAATCACTTTGCTGTTCTGCTGGCACTTGACATTTTATTTTAAATAATTTAATATCCATATGGTTTTTTAAAAATGATAGAGGAGACAGATGAAAAGTTGCTCAAGCAGAATAATTTAAATTCTTGTCTGCATAAAAACACGCAAACCAAAGATAACTGTAGTTCGGTACTGTGTCAAACTAATGACTGATACTAGGCTAAATAGTCCCAAAGAAAAGAGCTACTGTGTTGTGTGAGCTGACTGGTAGCAACAGTGTTTGTTTATTCAGGATTTTGAGGCCAGTCCTGTGAGGTTGTTTGTAAGCTGGTGGTTTTCCAATAGTAGGGTTGGATGGAGCCATCCTGCACTCTTATGCCAACAGACCATTTTCTGTTTGGTGACATTTGATAATAAAATGATTTATCCCTGATCTATAACTATATAGGACAAGTTAGCTTTGTTTTATATTTTCTAACTATTGTCTTACAGGATTGAGTAGTTTCCAGTGTTCTCTCATTTCCCTGTTTTATTCTGTTTTGCATTTGTAATAACATTGGTGCTAATATTACATACCCGTTTACAAAAGTTTCTGAAAAATTCAAGTGTTTCTTTAAGATAACTGAGAGTTGAAAAATTTACAATTTTATGTATCTCATTTATTTATTTAGGAGCTTTGAAAACAACCTTAACACCTACAAATTACTGTCACACAAAAAACCAGATGCTGAGCTTCCAAAGGTAAGGGTTTTTTATAATGTGCGATGCATGTCTGCTTTTGGGATGTCTTAATAGTTTTTTCTTCTCTCCTCCTCACCTTAATACCCTCTTCAAACCACAGGATATTTCATACATTTAAAGAAGCTTGCAACACACAACTTTATTCTAATAGTGACTAACCTTTTTTTTTTTCTTTTTTTTAAAGTGAATTACTCTTCTACCTAGAACATTTCCTGCTAGACAGTTTCTTTCTGTTTGTGGTTCTGGGTTTGTTTGTTTGTTGTCTTCATTAATGGTTTGCTGAACAATTCTGGTTTTGACAATAGTTGGTAACTGCCACCTGTCTTGTTAATTCCTTTTTTAATTGGGGTTTGTGATGATTTTTTACTGTATTTGCACGATTATGTTACTGTTAATGTTTTGGGGGTTTTTTTATTCCCAATGATTAAAAGTATCTTCTCAATAACATTAAGGAGAAAAAAAATAAGGTTTTCATTTGAATAGCTATTTGAGTAGCTGTTTGAAAATTATGTGGATAGCAAGTAATTATCACAATCAGCCAATTTATTTGACAAAAATTACTGTGGAATATGTCATGGAGAACTTCACACAGTAAAGGAAATATGGTTACAAATGAATAGTAATTGTAACAGCTTTCAAGGAAACTGTGATAAAATAACACACTCTAATTTAAATTATACTTTTACTTTTGCATAAACATAAACCAAGGTATATAAACCAAAGTTATTTGAAATATACCTGCCAAAATGGTTTGGTTGGGTTGTTTTGTGGGGGTTGTTTTGTTTGTTTGTTTGTTTTCCCAAAAATAAGGACCTATGTTTAAGCTTCAGGACATCAAAGAATTAAGATTTTTTTTTTTGGGGGTGGATGTTTAGATCAGGTGTCTCTGGTTTGGGTTTTTTATATGTACCAGTGCAAATTTAGGACATTAGTGTTGGGATTTTGTATTTTGTTTTAAAATAGTTTTGCCATACTTTTTAATGGTGGATGGCATTAGAAGGAAAGCTAGGCTGCTTGTAATTAACTAATTGAATTTGACCACACTAGCCGAATCTGTTTGCTTCAATAAAAGGGGTTGGATGGGAATTAAAAAAGCAGACAAAATGTGCATGTCACAGGAACTGAGGAGAAGACTAAGCTGAGCAGATCACTAGAACCTACTGAATGCTCTGCCTCAGCAGGGTTGATGCACATAGATATTTTGTTGCTTGAATTTCCTTTGCATTTTTTTCCTCTGCATTTTTCTACAAAAAGATTAATTCCTTGATTTGGGCTGGAGCTAAAACAGAAACCATATACGTTGTGTTTTGGGTCTCTTTTTTGTTGTGTGGAGTTCTTTGTTTGTTTGGATTTTTTTTTTTTTCCTTGTTTGGTTTTTTTAATTGGATGAAATTCCATGATCATTACTGAACAATTGTCCTCTTGCACTCAGTTGTTTTTTTTATTCCCATCTTCCAGGATAAAGATAGTATCTTCTAGCTCTTCTGCAGTACCAAACTGCTAAAATTCTGTCATCAATAATTACAAACAATTTAAGGTCATTCAGCTGACCTAAAGCGTGATGAATTTTAGTGTGTAAGCTCAGGCCACCAAGTTTTCCTGCGTTTTGCTTACATCGTGTGCTATCATTTAAGTTCTGTTTGCTAAATTCCTACTGAGTGATGGATTATACTGCCCCAAAGGTCAGGCATGTGAAGTTTGAATTCTTATATTTTGCTCTCAGTATTAATTTCAAAGCTATAAGAATAAAATAAATAAATGTAGTGTGTTTTGGGGTTTTTTTTTGCTTTGTAATGGGTTACATTTTTATCTGTTGTAAATCAACCCTTACTGATGTCAGTGAAAGTGTTGATTTACACTAGCTGACCCTTAATCAAGCTCACTTAATCAAAGACTGGCCTGTGATTTATCTAGAAATAAGCCTTCCATTTCAAGGAAGATGTCATGTACATAAGATCTGCTTCTCATACTTTGCAGTTAAAATTTGAAAAATACATCCTAAGATGTTTACTAGCATTTTATACACAGTAGCATTTTCACTTGGTTTACTCTTCCAGTGCACATTTATGTGTAATATTTCTGTTTTATTTTTCTTTTTAATGCAAATATTTAAAGTTTTTCCTTTGAGAAAGAATACATGGCCTGAGTGATTCTGGATTTATTGGTATAAAGTAGTAATTCCATTGAAGAAAGTGTTCTTAATTTAAAAACTGTTGTGGCTTTAGAGTTAAGTCTGTTCTAAAAAGACAAGTTTTCTATAGCACTTTGTAGGCAGATTGTGTGATTTTGGCCACTTACATTGTTCAGTCTGTTACGCTTACATCCATTTAGATGTAGTTTTGTCTTGAGTACAGTTGATAAAAGGGAACATAAATGGGGACTAAATGCATAGGTGTGGAGTACACATTATATACCAAAATATTTTTCATTTCATGTTATGTTTTAAATAGAAACTTCTCTCTTACGTTGCCTGTGGTTTAAATTACAAACGTGTATTTGGTATCTCAGGATTTTGTGTACAAGTAGATCAGCTGCTTAACTAGGACACTCCAGAAAGTTGGGAAGACACTGTATCTAAGCACAGTTACTTTGAGTCACTAGGAAAGGCTTTAGAAACTGTCATATTCTGGAAGTGTGTGGTTTTGTGAAAGATGCTGATTGCTCCTGTGTACTACTGTATCATCAACTGCTCTAATAACCTGGCTGATACCTTATTTTAAAAGTTTTTGTCTCTTCTGCTTTGCATGGGACTGATGATAGTCACCTAACTGCTATGGGGCTGGAATCAGTTCTTACTCTTTTTCTCATCTAGTCTGGGCATTTAAAAAAAAAAAAGCTGCTGTGATAACAGGAAACTGGTTGAATAACACTGGGTATTCTGTTTCTTGAATGCAGCCAAGCTAGAGCATAAAAATCTGAATAACTTAACCTGCAAGCACAATGAAAATGTGATAAAGTCTTATTTAAAACAAACATTTTTTTTTTTTGAAAAGTTGTTTGTTGTTATTTTGTTTCTATTCTGCAAATGGAAGAATATATGTATGTATCTGTTAGTTACCTTTAAATTTTTGATAGGTTTAAGGGCTTTGAAATTTCCTTTCCTATATATTATCAACTGTGTATGATGGACAGATTCACCATCTTGTAGAAATTCAGGTGTTTATTAAGTATTATCTTTCTTTTGCAGACTAATTTTAATGTGGCAGTTTTAAATGTTGGTGCCCCAGCAGCTGGGATGAATGCTGCAGTGAGGGCTGCAGTGAGAGTTGGCATAACTGAAGGCCATAAAATGTTTGCTGTCATTGACGGATTTGAAGGTTTTGCTAGAGGGAAGGTCAGTATTACAGATGTGCCTTATGTAGTGCTATGTACCTCATCCCACACCACCACTTTGTTCCTGTTCTGTCATAACCGTTGTGGAAACTGATTCTGTAAGTTCTTTTATTTCATACAGTTACAATTTTGGGTTTATGTACCTTTATTTCTCAAGTATTCAAGTCTATAGATTCATTTAACTTAAGTATTGCTGCCTTCAAATTTTGGTCAGTGTGGTAGGTTTTCCACAGTATAATCACCGATCCTGTGTGATGAATTGTTGCATCTGCCTTACTTTGCCATAAGAAAATTTGCAGTGATACTTGAGGGAGGAGGCTTTTTCATGTATCCCCAGGTGATTTAGATTCTTCTGGTCCCCCATTTTAAATGTTAAGCATCAGTTGGTACACAGAGGAAAAACTGGATGCAAGACATAATGAAATTTCTAGGCCTAGCTGGAGCCATAGGTCCTAAAGCTAGCCAAAGACCTAGCTGTAGATTTTTACATTTCACATTCAGGAGGAGAGGATGTGAAAACAGGATCATGATGTGAAACAAGGAGACAGGGTTCATTGTGATCTGGAGGAAGAAAGAACAAAGAGAGTGGAAAGGGATTGCTAAGAAATCAAGAGGGATTACAGTAACCTCTTGCTGCTGTTTTCTTTCTTTGCCAGGTTCATTTTTGATGCTGTCTGTGCCCAGCAGCTTGTTCCAACAGATTCTCATCAAGTATTACCTGGTGTTTGCTGCATGGTAATTTGGATAGTTACTTAACGGAATTTCCTTTTTTACTTTTATTCAAAGATAAAGGAAATCAGCTGGGGAGATGTTGGAGGCTGGACTGGACAAGGAGGATCAATTCTTGGTACAAAACGGTAACATCAATATTTTGGCAATTATGATGAATTGAGTATTTTGTATTAACTGTGTGTGATTCCAGGATCTCTTCCTTCCATAGAATATTTTAAGTCCTCAATTTTTTTTATTTTTTTTTTTTTAAATTCTTACATTCCGAGTTGGGTTTCTTTATAGTACTACACCAGCTCTGAAGAGAGAATAAAAGTGAGAGATGAAAGCTCAACTTAAAAATTTCTTGGAGTCCTTACACTTAAAAGGACTGCCAGCCTGTAGTTGCTTTATAGATTCCTTACGCCTTGTCAGGAAGAATTCTTTTTATGGGTAAATATGTAAACTGAAAAATATTGCATTGCCTGCTCAGTTTACTGTTTCAGCTTAGTAATTAGTTCATATTGCTGCCGAGTCTGTAAATTATTTTTATTTTTCTTTTGGTTTAATAATTTTTAGTACTCTTCCTGCAAAATATTTGGAGAAGATTGCTGACCAGATGCGCACTAACAACATTAACGCCCTTATGGTTATTGGTGGATTTGAGGTACACTGAAATGTCTAATTATGTCTAAGTAGAGTAGAATTCCTAACAGAATTAATAGACCATTTTCATTTTCACTCAATCTTCATGTGAAGTGCATTTGGTTATAACTGTATGTGCTGTGCAACACCAATAGCATTTAGGATTGGAAGTATCGTTCAAGACAGTGACTAGTAACTGCAAAACAGGATGTGCTAAATGAATAAAGTGAGAGAGCATGATAATGTTTTTGTATTACAAAAAAAAAACAAAAAGAAATTTTATAACCTCAGTAGTGCAAGTTGCAGTCTACACTATCAATACTTAAAACATACTTACAGAAGTTCTTGACCTTTAGCCGTAATTCCACTGAGGTCCCTCATTTTTTCCCTTATTAATGCACATAATGCATTTCAAAATCTGTAATTGATCTAGAGGAGTTTGTTTTTTGTTTGTTTGGGTTTTGTTTCACATTTCCTGTTCATTTCATTTTGCCAAAAGAATAAATTTTTGAGATCTTGATTCAGGAAAGTATTTTGCCATCTATTCCCATCGAAGAATATGCTTATTACTTCTTGATAAGGAATAAATCGCCCATTTTTTCCAACCTGTTAGGCATTGTCCCAGTTCAGGAGTATTAAGATTTTTAAATGAGGAGTAACAAGTACCTGAAGATTGGAAAACTGTTTTGCAGTATGTTTGTGTTGTACAAAGCACTTTCTTATCACTAAATTATATATTCCCTTGAAAATTAATGTTCTATTTATTGTTTGTTTTCAAATGTATGCCTGTGTTTAATGCTTTCTTCTGTGTGTGTGTGTTAGATTTTAGTGGTTTGTTAAGGCTTTGACTTGCTTAAGTGTGCTGTGGTAGAAATGGCTTTCCCTGTGGCCTTCCCCATTTTGTCCCTCCAACTTTGCCTGTATTTTGTCCATCCTAATTTTCCACCCAATGCCTGTGCCCAACAGGCGTACCTCGGACTCCTGGAGTTGTCAGCTGCCCGAGAGAAATATGACGAGTTCTGTGTCCCAATGGTTATGGTTCCTGCAACTGTATCCAACAATGTGCCGGGTTCAGATTTCAGCATTGGTGCAGACACTGCTCTGAACACTATAACTGATGTAAGTCTGTTCTGGTGTGTGCGCTTGCTGACAAAGCAGTTCTGGTTAGAACTGGCTAAATTGGCTAGAACTGGATATTTTTATAGACCAGAACTTTTGGAAATGTCATCTGGAACATGATAGGCTTCATTCATGTAGGTACATTCATATACCTGCTGAAAAAAGAGAAGGTTCAGGATCCCAAATGCTATAAATTGTGACCTGTAAAGTTGTAAACTACGAAGTAAGATGCCATATATATCTGTTGTGTATGGAAGGAAGAAACCTACAGCTAAGACTTGATGATCATTTCATGCACTGTAGAGGAAAAAATCTTCATTATAGGTAGTTATGCAAGATCTTTATTCCTGTAACAGAGAAAATAAGATTCATATTTCTCTAATAATAGGAATTATGTATACTAATAACAGATTTTAACAAAAAGACTGGAGATATACTGTGACATATTTTTGTAAAAATCAAATCTAGTAATATGATATAAATTAAAAATGGATTGGTTAATACTAAACTCAGTTGTACAAAAAACATTGTGAAATACCATACAGACTAAATTGCCAGACATGCACATTTACAGTTCATCTGAATCTCTTAAGAAGCATTAATCCATTGCGCCTCTGCCAAGAAGAGCAGTTCTGTTTCTCTACACTCTGACATAACTTTGTCTGTGAAGTAATAGCAGCAATACTCCACTTCCTTCAATTTTATTTTCTCTTCAGTGTCATTTGCAGACACATGTATTGCAGATACAGTTGCAGAGTATCTGTAATCTGGTTGAAACCAGCAAAGACCTAAAAAATCATGTGTCTTCAAAATTTAATTTGTTTTCACTTCTAAAGAAGAAAGAGAATTATTTCATAACTTACTGAACTATGATTAATTACCAGATTATATTACAAGTTCCACTTTCTGGTTTTTGTCTTGAGCCATGCTGGAGCCTGAATGTGGGGTTTTTCACTGATTGTACGTTTTGAGCTTCATTTTTAAAAGTCAAAAATAATTAGCATAGTGCTCATGTAAAGCAGGAAAAGAATTCCAGGTTCCTTCTGAAAATCAAATGTCAATTCTATCACTTGGTTAAAATCTTCAAATACATCTATGATATTATTTTCAGAAATTTGAAGGATTTCTCAAACAGTTTCAACTTCAAAATAATACCACTAGCGTCATTTTCACTGTGTTGCTTTTGGCTTGGTTTGGTTTGATTTTACCATGCCACCATAAATATTTTTATTTTCAGGAAAATAAACCCTTCAGTCAGGAAATTTCAGTTTCTTTACCTGTTGCCTTGAACAATACTGTAAGCTAACTAAAACCTATCTTAAACATATTCTTTGTAGACAACTGAGGTTATAAATGTGGATGTTGTTTCCAGTTCTGGTAAATAAAAATATCTCTCCAAAATAATTGATCACAAATTAAGGTGAGTAAATTGATTGTGCATAACACCTACTTTTCTTCTTTTCTTTTCTTCATAAGCTTTGTTTACCTAACTGGCTTCTTTTTATAGGTTATTTTATGCCCAGGGCATATATTATAGTTGGTCAATGTCTCTCTGCCTGTTGCTCTGTTGCTTTATATTTAGGTTTCTAGATATCATTCACCTTTATTAGATAACAAAATATCAGTATGTCCTTATTTTCAGTTAAGTAGTCTCAAAAATTATATCTTTTTTTATCAATAGGTTCTGTCTTGGTTTTGCATTTTGTTTTGCCTAGATTTTTTTCTTTGAAAAAATTACTAAATGTAATGGCTTTACAAGACAGATTGAATCTGATGGAAAATTCAGTTTTGTGTTTTTCTTGGGAAGGAGCATACTGCTGTGGTGGGGAAACATTTCACCTTGATATCTTTTCAGTTTTCTGCTCTGATTGTTTGAACCTGATTTACTGAAACTGATAGTGAAACATGTATGCATTCATTCCTGTGTCATGTTCAGGTCAGTTTCAATAGTGGAGAGGCTGCTGCCTGTTAGATTTGACTCAACACAGGTCATACCACTGGCTGTGGTAAACGAAAGTAGCAGATGGACACTAGTGTCCATTATGTCTAGTTTATAGCATTTTTGTTCATATTGCTACTATTAGGTCAATAAATGCATGATAGTTTTCAGTGCTCTCAGGTTAGTCCCTCTTCTGAACAACAGAGTGTCATCACAGTTTTTCTGTGGTGCTGTTCTTACTTTGATGTTCTTGACAACTTTTAGTAAGGTAAGTATATTTCTGCTGGGTAATGAGGTCATCTTAGTGGTAGGCATTAGTAGACACTACTTGTCAATGTTAGGCTGTGTGAAACTTGTTGAGCCATGTAAATGGTACCTTGAGATGTTTGCACGTAAGATGTATTAAGGTGCTGCATTTAAAAAGCAAAACAATAAAGAGCAGACCAACAGATTCATAATTTCTGAATGAGAGGTTAGGCAAGAGTGTGCTTTTCCCTATGTCATAGAGGGTGGTCCATTTCTCAGTAATTAGAATTTAGATTCTGTAACAGATTCTGTGACCCTCTTGAAATGTTCTTTTATTTCCTTTTTTTTTTTTTTTTTTTTTAAAATAGGCTTTTAATCAGTTGACTAGTAGAATGTGTTTTGTCTTTTGAATAAGGTTTTTAATTTATTATATGCTGTATTTTTCACTTCAGTTTTCAGAATATTAGAACAATTGTCAGTGAAAACTCCAATATAAAATACCTGGGGAAAGGTGGGTGTTCTGTACCTGAAAAGGGTATGCTTGAGGCTTGTATATCTAGATACACAAAAGAAATGGTTTAGGATTGCAGGATAAGATGAACTTCAAGTTTTCTGTGAATAGAAGCATCAGTAAAATAACTACCATAATGGAAATACTGTATGCTCAACTTCATGTTGCTAATGCAGGGAAATGAGTAGAATATTCTTTCAGGTAGCAGACCTCTGGAACATGAGAACAAAGACGTGTGTTAGCTTTTTCCCTACATGACCATGAAGAATAGAAATTCCTTTTGAAATGAAAGTTGGCTTACTTAGTATTGATCAAAAAGAGGCATTAGCAAGACATTTTGCAGGTGGAACTGGAAAGCAGAAACCTATTCTGGAATTAAGCAAAATGAATAAAAAGTTAGACTTTCAGCTGCAAACATGGAAGGAGATTGGAAAGGATGAAAATGTAATTTGAAAAGTCAAGGGCTAGTGGAAACTGATGGAAATAGGAATAAACCAGAACAAGGTATGGGAGAATATTCATTTTATTTAGGAGATGTAGAAGTAAATGGAAAAATGAAAAGAAAAAGGTATCAGCTGGAGATGGAGAACAATAGAACCTGAAAAAGGAAGAAGTTAAAACTTGCTAACGTGTCTTTCACAGTCTGCCTTTTCCTTTCATCAAAGGGAAGGGGGGACAGGTTTGTCAATCAGTTTGGTGAGAAACAGCCACTGAGGAGCAACAAAAGCTGCAGCCAGGCTGTCCTGGTGCAGTCTCCAGGGATGGCCTCTGAAAAACACGGACTCTGTACCTCCCAGTTCTGCTACTGGTGTAGGTGGCTCTGAATTAATCTGAACTAGGAAGCTGGAAATTAGCGTGGCCAGGCTGGCTAACCAACTGTGTTTTTATCCACTTCAGTCCTAGCAACAGCTGGATATGGAGCTAGGGCAGTAAATCCATCCCTTTCAGCAGCACTTTGCATTTAGATCAACATGAAATCAATGAAGCGCAGTCTTTGCTTGGCTGCATGTATTTTTATAAAGCATCCTTGGTTATGGCAATGCTCTTTTTAATAACACAAGAGACAATAAAAGGGTGCGAAATGATTAAAATAATTAAACCATTTTATTGATGTAGTACAGTATCCCTCTAAGATATTACTGTAATACTTATTTAAAAAGAGTAATGGTAAAGCAATTATTAAATCTACCTGTCACCAATCACTTATTTACCCTTTATAATTATGAAGTGACCCTTTATTGGAAGCGTTTTCATATTTTGCTGCAGTGATGTGAAGATGTTGCATATAGTCATCTAATGCTCATGCTTGGTGAAGGTACAGTCTTTGGATATGTTTGCTGAAATCACTTGCATCAAATAAAGTGCAAATATTTAATGCAAGTAAAACATATCTCAACTATGTCTTAACATATCATGGATGCAGACTAACCAGTTGTGTTAGTTATTGCTTTAAATCTCCCTTCAACTTGTTTTCCCAAATGTCTCAATATAAAACTTCCTAGAGAAACTGATTTTTTGCACTATCTCCAGAAATTCATGTGGTGGCTGTGTCACAAACCACTCTGACTCTGTATATGTCTTTATTTTTCAGTAAAATTATTTTCAGAACTGAAAATTCAAAGTGACCTGACTGAGCTGAGTTGGGCTAGGCAATTACTGACATTTTTCTCAATTTTCTATTGTGAAAGCCAGAAAGAGAAAGTTGTGAAAGTGCAGTCCCTTAGACTGTTTCAGACTCATACTGGAAGTGTGTCCTAGCACTGAGCTTAATTGGACATTACATGTACAAAATATGAGTAGAGACAGACTTTAGAGAGTCAATTTGCATTTATGTACCTACTACCACCATATGTCCTGTCCTCTCACCGAACAGAATCTGCTCTACCTAGGACAAAAACCTAGAGAGCAGAACTCTCACAGGTGAAGTTTTTTGCCCATCATTTTCTCCAAAGTTACTGCTTAAATCAGTCACTGTGTAGATAGTTGATCATGGTAGACATTCGTGACCTTGATCTGCAACAGTTTGCTTCTGTGAACTGATTTGAGAAATTGAAAAGATGAAACTTCTGTGAACATCAGTCCTTCTTGGGAGAAAGAGATGAAGGAATACGTCCCATACTATATAATTAGGCTTTCTTGTGGAGAGTCATTACACAGGCGGTTTGAAAAACTGCCACACAGCATGAGAGGTGCTGATTAGTTTAGATTAGAAATAATTGGAATAATGTAGCTAAAAAATTTGTTTACTGACTTAAACCAGCTGTAGAATCTTAACCTTTAAGTATTGACATCTATTAGGAACACCTACTCCTTTTCACATGATGATTGAGTTTGTAGTGTTTGGAATCTTTCCAAGGACCTACATCTGCTTTTCAAAGAATCCTTGAACTATACTTGCAAACTTTATTCACTCATCTCTGTGCACAGTTCTGGATTTTTCTGGGCCTGTGTCCAGTCTGTGTGCATAAAGCAGATGTGTGATGTTGTTAGAAATCTTGGAAGGCATAAGGAAAACTATTTTCCTTTTTCTTGGTGGAAGTGGATGTGTGTCTTGACTTTGTAGGATAACATAGTTTTTAAAAAAGCAGCTTTCTTTAAGCATTTCCTCTAAGTTGTAGGTGTTTCGCTAGTTAACTTTCTGAACTCCTTAACACGTATCAAACTTTGCTCTTTAAGTGGTTTCTCCTGGAATGGTTTCTAGCCTACCTTTCTGCTGTCCTGCCCAGCTGCTGCAGAGCTCTTGCGCTGTGCACACTTCACATTCACTCTGCATTAACTTGCCCTAGCCTGCATTTCTTCACAGAGCATTGTGCCAATGCAACCCCAGTGCACTGTTGTGGTATGTACAGGTTATCCCCCCCAAATAATCTCACCAATTCTTTTTACTTGGGCCAGTGGACAGCCAAATTTACCATCACATGCAAGGAGTCATTAGCAGAGCAATCCAAAGACAAGGACTGTGTCATTCACACTTGTACCACTGCTTCAGGCCTATGAAAGTTGTCTGCAGCTCCACGAGGCCCGTTCCCGCTTTGAGGAGTTTTGCGTTCCTATCTGTGTGTTGCCTGCTACTATTAGCAACAATGTGCCAGGCACAGACTTTAGCATTGGTGCTGACACTGCCTTGAATGCTATTGTGGAGGTAAGACTGCATATCCTTTAAAAGTTAAGATGATAAAATGCCTAAGATGTGGATATCTAAAGAGCTTGAAATGTCTAGTTTTGTAAAGTAAGCCAGTCAACTGTTTTATTTTTAATGATTTATAGTTGAGAAGTTTTCTGAGAATTATTAAAGATTAACCTTATAAAAGTTAAGTTGTGTGTTTAACTTGTGGGGTCTCGATTTTGTTATCTAAGACTGCTGCATTAGTGCTTAGGATATTTGCCCTAAATAAAATATTTAACTTGCTTCTGTTTTGTTTTATCTTATGTAGCTCCTCAGTGTTACTTAAGTGAAAGAAGAAAGCACGTTTTATAAATAAATGCCATATTCATTGCAGGGGTTAATGACTGAGCTCAGTGCAGCAGAACATTTTAAGTACATGGTTTAACACTAAACACATGAATAATCCCATAGACTGCATTAGGGTTTAAAGTATATTAAATGAATACAAGTGAGTGCGTAGTATAAGCACTTAAGTCTGTCACTGATGCTAACGGAACAGTGTGAGGCCAGAACTTGCTATGAATGGTTTTTCCACTTCAGTCAGAACAATCAATTTTCTAGTTTTATTCTTTCCCTTGGGTACAACTGCTGTATGAACTCCCCAGGTTCTTTACTATCCTGCTGAGTCTGCTGGAGACACAGCAAAGGGGACTGAGTTGACATCTGGTGCGAGTGAGTGAGTCAACCTCTGAACAGCTCTGGATTTTAATCAAACTCTTGTTATCAGTCCGTATAACTAATTATGAAGTAATTGGCCAAGAAAGTCAGAACAGAGATCCAGGGGCCTGAGAAATGCAGGTGTGTTTTCCTGCTCTGATACAGTAGTATTATGTAGAGGGGAAGAGCTCCAGTAGATGATTTAAGGAGCAGTGTCAGAATACATTATGGCCTGGTCTTTGGGAGATGCAGTATAGCATCCCTGGGGTGAAGATGACCTGAGAGGTACTGAGGGCAAATTGTAGCAATATGTTCACAGGCAGGGCGTGGGCTCTTTCACCACTCCGTGAGCTGTTTCCCCCTTACCTACTTGTATAAATGTCAGGCTAAGTCTGCTAATTATGACAGATGTTACTTCTAATAGTGGTGCAGCTGTAAAAGTGAAAACATGATGGTTTTGTGTTGGAAAAGAATGATTGCATATATTGCTGCTTCCTCTTATTTTACTGTTTTCATTATTGATTTTAATTGCCATTTATACAGATTTTAGTAATGCTTCAGTAAAAATTTTTTTAAAAGGTATCTACTGAATTTCCTTATGGTTAGAATGTTTAGTTTATGCTAAAAATAGAACACTCTTGATTTGGTGAAGTTATGATTATCAAATCTTTATTGAATCTGGCTGTGATCATATGAAAGCTCAACTAGCAAAGGAATTCCAGAGTATGCCAAAAACATTTACCATGCCTTTATGTTTAAAACTTCTGAAACCTTCATCAGATGTTTGAGCTTTGGACTTCCCAGTGTATGGAGCAGTACATGAATTAAATGATCCTTTAAAATCCATCTGTGCCATTTTTGTATTTGGGTATTTCTGTGACAGTCCTCCTGAGAGAGGAGGAATAGTAGAATGTTTTTACTGTGTCTCTTCTATAGTCAAGAATAGAAATCCTTCCAAATAAATCTAAAGTGGATAAACCCAGAAGCAAACACTGATCCACATCTTTGCTTAGAATTTAGAGCTTCTCAAAAAGCAGAAAATTTCAATCTAGTATCAGCAGCTGGATAACTTTTTTTGAAAGCTTGAAATTTACAAGGGGTTTAGGTCTCTCAAAATGAAGGAGATCTTTGGATGTGTGCTATTTCTTCAGTGTGTAAAGCCAAAATTATTTTTATAACATAAGATAAATACATAGTATCCATCCAGTTCCAGACAGCTTTTCTAAAATGAGTTAAAATTGGTTCAGTGCTGCGTTTGCCACTGTTAAAAGTAATGGGGATTTTTATAATTTTATTATTCTTTACCAGAAGCCAGTATTCTGCAAAAATTCTTATGAAATCACATCTGGAAGGGGAAAGTGAAATGCTTGAGGACATGGTAAAATCCAGGACACCTAAAAGAAAGTGTTAGTTTCAAAAGCCAGTTGAAGTTCAATGTAGGCTTTTCTGACATATTTTGTTACGTAGATACTTTCTGTTTAGGATTACAGAATGTCAGTCCCTATCCTGAGTAAATCCATGTGAATTCTGCACTTGTGTGTGCATACGAGCGTGTGTACGTATAGACATAACGCATATATATGCAGATATGTAAATAAAATACATGCAAATGAAATTGCATGTGTCTTTTAGGAACTGGACCTAAATAGACACATACACTAGTTTTAGTTCTTCAATGCATTAAACCTTATGAGAAGATGTAGTTTGGGGCTATTTTATGTTTTTTCATCTATCAATAGATTATTTGTGCTGTGGTCTGTTAGATATATTTTTTAAGACCATATTGCTCACAATCTTAAGGGCAACTTGAAGTATTATTTTCAGTTAGCTGAATGAAGGTACTGGTTGTA